TCCTCTTTTTTGAACTTGGTAAAAAAGGGCTCATTATAATATCCATATAGTTTTATTTTATTACTAGCAGAACCCGCAGCTTCGCTCGCGTTAAAACTACAAAAAAAACTCTAAAATGGTAGGTTCATACAAACTTTCATCCGCTATTTTACGCCCTTATGGGATGCATTTCGAAAAATGTTACAACACGTATTTAATTAATTGTATTGAAAACCATTTATACCAAGTTTCAAGTAATTCTGATCATAAATATTTTTGGATTGTATTATAACGTGTTTTCCCGTGGGAAAGAGATAATCTCCCGCGGTTAAAAGTAGCCTATGTCACTCTCCAGCCCTTCAACTACATAGTTGGAGGGCTGGAGAGTGACACAAAAAATGACGCCAATTCGCCAAGTCGTTTCGACGTGAAAGAACGACAAACAAACAAACACACTTTCACATTTATAATATTAGTATGGATTTACTACTAACTAGGAGCTACGCACTGTCAATAATTTAATGGGGAAAGTATTAGCGTCGACGTAGAAAGAAAATCTACATTTATTTGGTGGCGTGCAAATATTTTCATGTAGAAAAGGGGAAAGCGAGCGAAAATTCACGCTTAAGATTTATAGGTTTTGTCATTTATTAATTAAGATGTACTGTGTACTTTAGAGTTTCTGTAATAGTTTTTAGAATTTTTGTCTGTTGGTCTGTGTGGGAACGCATCAGGAGAAAACCATTGGACAGATTTTGATGAAATTTGATATGATGAAAGCTGGATATTCAAGCCGACATATAGAATACTTTTTACTCCGTGTAAATATCTCATCTCTGAAAAATCTATACTAACCTAAAATAATTTAGAAATAAGCCAGTGGTAAACGAGTGGCATTTTTAGCTTCAAAATAAAGTACCGTAAGTAGTAAGTATAACTTATACACGCCATATTCCTTACCTGTCGACAACTTAACTGCGACCGACTTAAAATACTCAAATCACTCTACACAATGCACTTAAAATTCTTTAAGAATCTAACAATGGGTGTTTCAAATTGAAATGCATCGAATAAAACACATCATTTAAACATGGGGGCATTTATGGAGTAGTTTAGAAAATTTACATTTTTAAATCATAAATTAATCTTTATATAGTGACGCGGAGGTTTATCTATTAATCTAAATTTACTAAGACTTCTTTTACATAAATTAGGTGGGATTGGAGTACTATTATTAAACTTAACAAGTAATCAGTAATCTATACAGTTAAATAAAATTGAAGTTTCTGTTTGTAATATCAAAATAACAGCGTTTTACTAAATGCATATGAAATTATATGTATACGGTACTTATAAGAAAAACACAATTTTTAAAAATGTTGTCTGTCTGTTTGTTCCGGATAATCTCTGAAACGGCTGGACTGATTTTGACGGGACTTTCATTGGAAGATAGCTGATGTTATAAGGACTAGCATAGGCTACTTTTAATTCAGATAAAGAATTAGGGTTCCGCTCAAAGAAATTAAAACGTACCTAGGGACGAAGCCGAGCGAAGCGAGGGTGGGTCGCTAGTCTTACTAATAATATTACAAGCGCGTAAGTTTGTGTATGAATGTTCTTTCCTCTCGCGCAAAAAGGATTTTGATGTTAATTTGCAATAATAAAGCTTAGGTATACATCTATCACCATTATTAAATAAAACTATCTTTTCAAATTATTTCGCAGATTTATTTATCCGCGAAATAATCCGAAAAGATAGTTTTATTTAATAATGTCAAACATTCGCGTAAATCTAGGAAAGTATTATCTATCATCATACCGAATTTCATCAAAATCTGTCCAGTGGTTTTCTCGTGATGCGTTCCCGACAGACAAACAGACAAACAGAAGTTCTAAAAACTAGATTCGACCTCTATATCGATAATAATGACTATTTCAATAAGATTTTTCAAAAAATATCTAATGTACAGATTCGTCTCAGTTAGAATTTTATTACAATGTAAAGATAATAAATAATAATGAATCAGATCTTTACTTTTCAATTTTCCATTTTATTCTAAAATATAACTATTTAAATATATGTAAATGAAATAATTGTGTTAAGTCTTTTTATAGTTCCTATGTTATTTTGATGTCGGCTAATAGTAATATGTAAGTATTTTCATGAGGGGAACGCGTCTCGAGCAACGGCAGTAAATAACCCGCAGACGTTTATACACTGCGTGAGTGTTCCCACGTATTATTTTTATTTTACGATACGCTCAAATGTACGCTCTTACATATTTTGTGCGTATATTGCTTTCATCATCTCTTTTATTTCTTCCGGAACTAATTTTTTTAATAAGACCAAGTATTTTTTTTAATATTTTTATTATAACATAAAAGGCTAAGTCTGAACCAAATGGAATATAAAATAGGTTTTAATCATTAATCATGTTTTGACTGGTTTATTGCATTACAATAAAACCTGAAAACTATCGTTTTCTATATACCTTTCTAAGTTAAGAAACAATTTCCAGGTAATAATTGTTATTTTGCAATTTCAAGCACCACTTAGCTGTGAATATTTATTATTTACTACCGACTTACCCTCGCTTTGCTTGGATACGTTCCTAAGTCTTAACAGTAGCCTATGTGATATTTTAGGTCATGGTCTATCTGTTTATATATATATATATATATATATATTATATATATATATATATATAGTATTTATCTATCTATCCTGCCTTATATTTATCTATGTTTATATATTAAACATCACCCAAAAACGTACAATCGTGTGTAGGAATACGCGTGATGGTGTAACAAATACACACACATACAAACTTTCGCATATGTAATAGAAGTCCGATTATTAGAAAATAAATAAATATATATTTTCTTATTTAAATTAAATACATTCTGTATCCTATACTAGCGGTTAACCCTCTCTTCGCTCGGGTACGTCCCTAGCTACGCGCATATCGTTCGCAATGGGTTTTAATTTTTTTAGCACAGAACCCTGATTCTTGTTCTAAAATAAAATAAGTCTAAGTTACTAGTTATAACATCCTATCGTCCAATGAAATTCCCGTCAAAATCAGTCTAGACGTTTCTGAGTTCAGCCGGGACAAACAGACAGAAAAATTAAAAATTATTTTTTTTCTTATTAGTACCGTGCATACTTTTATATACATTTAGTAGAAAGCTGTTATTTTGACATTACAAACAGACACTTCAGTTTTATTTATCTATATGGATGAAAGTTAATACCAATATTATGTTAACTCGTCTCACTCTCAAACATATCTGATGGATTTTCCTCTTTTAATCTTTTATCTCTTCCGGGTTGTAAACGTGATGTTACTCCGACGTCAAATCGGAAGACAGTTTTATGACTTAATTTCGTGAATGTTAATAGGTTAACGGTCGTATTGCGTAATGCGTAATGTTATCTATACATATAATAAAAAAAATTTTGTATTTCGTCATCTGAACGCGGGCAGAGCAACGCGAGAGTAAGTGGAAAACGATGCGTGAAGGATGCACTAGCACTACAATAAAAAGTTTTTATTGTACGAAATAAAATAAATCGGAAAAAGGATCCCTTATAAGATTATATTGTTTTCCATTTATTTTTCTATCTATGTATTCAGCGCTTCTTATCGTCCCAACCCTAGGCACGGGCCTCCCTTCAATGCGAGGGGGATCAGGCCATAGTTCACTACACTGGCGAAATGCGAGTTGACGAATTCACATATCTTTTGAAAACTTGCTAAGTTCTCTCAGACATGCTAAAAGCAATTATTCCATTATGAAGTGGTTTTTTTTCTTGAAATTTATTTAGCACCACTCTATTTACTTTGAGTGCCGCATATTAAAGTTGATCAAAAGCGATGTTTTAAAATAAAAAGAAATGTATGTATTAATTATGTTATATATATATATATATATATATATATAAACGCCAATAAAACGTAAAAGTTAAAATGATTAAATGTACCTAATAAAATACTTAAATTATTTTCAGACTCCATCTTTGCATTTAAAATATTTTGATAACTTTGTTTTCAATTACTTTTATTTCAATAGTCTTTCACTTATCAGCTTATATACGTTGTATATACCTTTCATCTTTTATCTCTTCTCACCCGCAGTGTGCCGTTTTTCCAATTTGACATTTTTACGACTGTTATTTTATAAAAGCAGTTGCTGGTTAATGTTTATGTTTTGTTATATATAAGTTTTACCGTTTTTATAGCATTTTCATGAAATAGAGTTATTAAATAGATTTTGCAGACTAGATGCAGGGGGCGTAGACATCCACCACGGTGTGTTCATTTTGTCGTGGTTTGGGGGTGGGGGGCTCATAAGTGTCTGGCAAAACAACCAGGCGAAGCCAAGAGATACACTGGGAGGCGATCCATCTTGGTGAGCGCCGAGCGGTGTGCTATGCGGGTTGCTCCTGGTATTTCTCTGATAGCAGAGTGGACTGTGGAGCAACCCCATGGTTATTGTGGTCTGCTTCGGCAGACCTGCCGTCGGGGCGTTGTGGTTGAGTGCGTAAGTCATCCTGCGACGGCCCATTAAGACGGGGGTGGTTTTGTTGGGTTTTAGTAGGTAGTACTGGCTTTGCCAGTGAGTACTGCATAACTCTATCTGCATGCATCTGCATGCATGCAGATAGTATGGATGGCATTTCCCAACGTAAAAAAAGACCAGCACGATTTCAACATTAATATTAGTTACACTTCCCGGGAATCAAACTCGCATTATTCACACAAACTGCCAGCCAGTTACAAAGCTTATAACATTTGTAGCATGTTATTATCTTATTAGTTAGATCTGTATATGTATGTATTAGCGGTACTCAAATAAAAACAAAAAGATAATATTTTAGAATAATATAGATTCTAATTTCTTAAGTATGTTCTGCCTATTTTGCCGATGACGAGTTTGGTTAAGGAACGAAAAGACGACCCAGGCATTTTTTTCAGTTTTTTTTAAGTTTTAAATTACAATTCGTATGGAAGCTTTACCTGTTGATAGTGATAGCAACCATAGAGAGCAGTGACACCGCCTCGTTGCCGTAGAACACGAAGGCGAACATTTGACATAAGCGTGGGCCGAGCACCCACTGTTGTTTTATGTACCTGTTATATACAAACAATTAATATTTCAATTTAGATCATAACATCAAGATGAGTAATGTTGAAATCTACTTTATTTGTGAAAATATTGTGAAGTTCAAGTTTGAACTTAAATAAAAAAAAAGTAAATAAAAGCTTATAATTCTTTCCTTCCACTTGCGTAAGAAACTGAGTTGTTAACCGATTTCAAAAAGGAGGTATGCGTTTCTGTTTTTTTTTGTTACTTGTTAATGAGTACGCCATATTTATGGATACGTATATAAAAGAAAATCCACCAAAATGTTTTCTGAAATCGATGTAAGTACAACCTTTTAGTAAAAAATAATTATATGCAAGATTATTTTCATTATTATTTCAACGTCCTTTGATATAACTTTTATGTAGAATAGGTATATAATAAGCAAAATTTCCATCGAAATCGGCTGAACATTTCTCCCGTCTTTGATTACACACATTTATTATTACAAATTTTCGTTTTAATTTAAATAAAAAATCTATATTATTTAACTTATCACATTGCTTCTTCCTAATGCAGTAGTAATGCAAAACATACAGACAGACATTAAAAATAAAAAACGCCCAGTTCTATTCCGCCCTACACAATATTAAAAATCCGAATATTAATTAGGTGTTTATTAATATATTTCATTTTTATTCCAAACTAAATTATTTACAGCAAAGAAGCTAATATTTTATTTTTTGTTACAAACGTTCGTTCTATCCGCTGACATGTGCTGTGACTGGAGTCGTATTTCATACAGTGGATAAGATTACTATATTAATTAACATGTGTTTGGGAGCGTGCCTTAAAACTATTTTTATTGCACTTTTGTTTGGACATTTTGTTAAGTTTGCTTTAATAGTCAGATTCCGAAAATTAATAATAGAAATCTTAATTTAACTAGCGACTCACCCTCGCTTCGCTCGGGTTTTTCCCTAGGTTGCTTCCCCATACAATCTCCCATTCCCATTTTAACTCCCTTAAAGAATGATTTCCGGGATAAAAACTATCCTATGTCCTTTCCAGGATCTCAAACTATCCTCTTACCGAATCTCATTCAAATCGATTCAGTAGTTTCAGAGCCTATTCGGTACAAACGAACAAAAAAATAAATCTTTCCTCTTTATAATATTAGTCTAGATATAATTATAGTATACTAGTGGCTTACGTTTAAAATAGATAAAAGAAATATTTATCGTGAGTGTACTTTAAGTAGGTAGTTGGTTCGCCATACAAAATTTCAACCCCTATTTCACCCCTTGAAGTTTAATTTTCGCGACAAAAAGTCTATGTTCTTCTGCAAAGCCCCGTTTATCTCTAAACAAAAAATTATCAAAATTGGTTCAGGGTTTTAAGGAGTGAAATGTGACGTAACAGACAGACAGAGCTACTTTCGCATATATAATATTAATATAAGTTTGGAGACATCAATTTAAGATGTTTTTTGGCTTGTGCATTATAATAACATTTAAAATTTTAAAATAAAAAAAGAAACTTTAAAAACGGAGCACAATTCCGAAAATTTCGCGTAGTACATATATACGTACCTATTGACTCCTTTTATGAAATCAATTAACAAATATCCTATTATTAGTACCAATGCAGAAAGTATTCTTGAAATCCTTCCATCTATTTAGACATCAAAATAGACTTAAATTCTATATGAAACTAATTAAAGCATTCTACAATATAATTATAATCTTCATTGTAATACAATCTAAATACCTGCTCGCCGTCAATGGTAGATTGATGCTGCAAAACAAGAGATCTGACACGCAGAGAGATAACACAAACATGGTGGTGACGTGTCCGCGGAGCTTTGGGTGCATTAGAAGAGCCACTGTTGTTATGAAGTTGCCTGGAAAAAATAAAGCACAGATTCAATATATAAATAAGCACACAAAACTTCTCCTACTTTTCATTTTACGCTATTTTAAAGATAACTAGGATGTAGAAGTTAAATGTATTTTGAGTGATATATTGCACAACTAGCATTGCCTGCGGCACCGCCCGCGTTCAGCTGACCCAAATCCAAATTCTTAGGTTTTCCATATTAGTATACTCTTACAATGCAGTTTTTGTATTTTTTTCTCAAAATGAGATATTTTCCCGCGGTAAAAAGCATCCTATATGTTGACCCGGATAACCAGCTATCACCATACCAAATTTCATAAAAATCCCTCCAGTGGTTTTTCCGTGATGTGGTAACAGACAGACAGACAAAAATTCTAAAAACTATGGATTCGGCCTTTGTATCGATAATAATGTCTATTTCAATAAGATTTTCCAAAAAATATTTAATGTAGAGATTCGGTTTAGTCACAATTTTTTATATGTATAGATATCTATAGATAGTTTACAACTTTAGAGTAATGTCCTTCTGACCGATTTCTACCCACGGTGCTCAATCTCACTGAGACAGCCAGATGCGCAGGAGATATTATAGTGCAAACATAAATGCACTATTCCTTTTACTGTTATGGTCCGTTGTCGACGATAGTTTGACGCAACCGGTGAGACTGAAGGAGCAGGATCGACGGTTTTACATGCTCTCCGAGGCACGGGGGTGACATACCGCTAACTACCCAACTTGGGGCTGTTATATATGAATATCATAATAAAAAAACTCAATAATTAAACTTAGCCCGGGACTCAAACCCAGGACCTCCGGATCTACGGTCGTACAGTTTAGAGTAGAGGTAGAGCTAGAGCTTTCAGATGATGTCACCAATATGCCTGGCATTTATTAAGTAAATTGTTATATGAATCTTCATATCCTGTTAGACAATTTGGAGCGTGAGTCATTAGGCGCTTGCGTTCAATGAATTGCGTGCGCAATTAAAGCTAATACGCGACTATTGGCTAAAATGCGTATCGATTCAATATCTCTAAGTGGTAGTCTTCTGGCTGCTGAACTGTTAAGCTCCGGTTATACTGGATTATGTTTTACAATATGAATTATAATTTTTGTTAAAAAACAACACAAAAACAAACACATTAAAAATTAAAAAACTGTATGGACCAAATAAGCTCAAACTCAAAGCTTAGCATTGTGTGTGTGAGCTTTATTTATTGTAAACTAGCGACTCACCCTCGCTTCCCTCGGGTTCGTTCCTAATTTACTTTCCCATGCAAACTTTCATCCCCATTTTCACCTCCTTAAGGGATGATTTCCGAGATAAATGTCCTTCCCAGGGTCTCAAACTATCTTTTTACCAAATTTCATCTAAATCGGTTCAGTACATCCAGAGATTATCCCCTACAACGTCACAAACTCACAAACTTTACCTCTTTGTAATATTAGTATAGATGTAAAATAATATATAGCTAATTAGAAGTCAAGATTGAATTGAATTGTTAATATAGCATCGGTAGTTTTTATAGAGCTTCCTTTAAATGATTGGACTAATACTGTATTCAGCAACTTTAGCATCCCACTTCCGGGCACTGGTCTCCCTTCAATACGTGGGGGATCAGGCCATAGTCCACCACGCTGGCAAAGTGCAGGTTGGAGGACTTCACATGTATTTCGAAAACTTACTAAGTTCTCTCAGACAAATAACAGTAAATACATAGATCTCATAAGTTTTAAACTATTAATCTTAAATAAGATACTATTTAAAAAAGATTGAATAATAATTATTACGTTAAATGATTGGTTTTTATTATAATCTAAGGTTAAATTTCCTAGTATGAATACTGGTTTAGAGTGCTAGAGTCGAGTACGGACAGCATGAGCGGCGCCATTGAAATTGTTGTACCGATTGCGTTACCGTACCTTCTATATATTTAAAACTTCTTTGAAAAACAAACTTTATGACATATTTACTATATTTTTTTGTCTTAAGCGTTTTATGAAATTTAAGTAAAGTTTATGCGTTTTAATAAACATTTCCGCGTATCAAATTCAAATATTAAATGAAATCTTAATATGCTTTAAACACAGGTATGTCAATTTTTACATCATTGCATATTATAAGTTAGAATTGATTCTATATTTCTTCGATCTAGTCTTAGAAACCACTGGGCAGATTTTCACACGGTTTTCACCAATATAAATTGGGGTTATCTAGGAAGGTATATCGAGAAGTGTATTGTAAAAATGGTGTACTAGTATGATGATATGGGGGAATGAAGTCGGAAAAATTCGCTATTCTAGACTTAATAGTATAAAAAAATTTTACAATCCGACATGAGGTTATCGAATACCAGCGAAATCGGATGTCAGCAACATCTTGGAAAAGGGATGTCAAAATTTGAACCGGAAAGACTAACGAAGCAAATTAAATAAAACCTTATAAAAATGTATTTTAAATGATGATAACTATGAAACAGTTGTTGTCATAATGTTAATATGTTACAATAAAAATAATTAAAATAAGATGTTTTTTAACTTTGCGCGAAATGTGAGCCGTCGTCTTGTGATTGATCGCATCCGGGCTGATGAACTGGGGGAAAACATGCGATAAAAATGTTGCAAGATACTTCATGTTCATGTGATGTTCATGAACATGGATTGGATTGTAATATATGTATATGTTATGGACCAAGTAATTAATAGGATGTTATTCATAATGCCCGGGCATTTTAAGAAATGCCCAAAGTGAGAAGTCAATATGATAAAATGTATTAAAATAATTAAGTTGATCGGGTTTGATGAATAGTGCTCCTCGGCTATTGGACAGAATAATAAAAAGAAGTACGAGTATTTACTAAAATATTTTAATATGTGAGTCACGGTAGCAGTTATGATATTGGGTGTGAGGTGTGTTTGAAATAAAAAAAAAGACCCAACGGGAAGGCTAAAGCGGTAGCGAAACGTAACGTAGCTCGTTCTCAACCTTCGATATCTAATAAGACGAAAACTGTAGTATTAAGTAACACGAGCAAATAGGAACCGTACAAATAAAGAGTTGTGGTTTGTTGCGTTGTGTATCCCGTAAAATATTGCGAGACGCCAATTTTTTTTTATAACACTTTATTGCACACGAAAATGGTACATTAACAAAGAAAAATACAATTAAAGAGATGTGCAAAGGCGGTTTTATCACTAAAAGTGATCTTTTACAGGAAACCGATAAAAAAAATAAGTGAGAAGAGCGGAAAGGTGCGGAAAGTGCAACTCATTAAAACTTAATATGAATAAACATACACAAAACTTTACATATATACTAATTTAAATAAACATACGTAGTACGTAGTAAACTGATAATTTTACCATATATATTTCTATTATATATACATAAACATACATATAAATAATAATAAAAAAATCTTTTAAGGGGAAGGGAAAACTTAGACAGTCGAATGGAATGTCTGTGCCAGAGTTCATGACGAAAATTGATATCCGCTTTTCGGAAGTTCCATACTAGTGTGATGAGCGTTATTTATCGATGAGCGATGGGGTATAACGTTAGTATAGATTACTCAGAGATGAGATATTTTCCCGCAGTAAACAATATCCTATATGTTGACCCGGATAACCAGCTATCATCATAGTAAATTTCATCAAAATCTGTTCAGCAGTATTCTTATAATGTGTTCCCAGACAGACAGACGGACGGACGGACGGACGGACGGACGGACAGACACTTTTATAAATAATGAAGTTTAAATAATTATTAATCACTCGGTCCAATTCGACTTACTATTATTTATTTAGACCGGACATTATAAATACTGTCTTAATTAATCACTTGGCCTGTAACATAACATATTGATAAACTGTGCACATATGAAGTGACTATTAATAGACTAAATGAAGAGTGATCTGTTACTTCGAAATGATTTTGACCGACTTTTTTCTTTTTAATTGTTATTTTGGAAAGTATTACCTAAAATATTGTTTTTTTTCCAAAAATGCACCTTGAATTAGTTAAGCCTTTGATTTACTGAATTTGAGCTATGTTAAAACTACCACTTAGACCTACATTCCGATGACGGTTTTTTGAAGTGGACGTGGCTTCAATCGGACTACTATTTTTAATTGCGAAAGTTTGTTATTTCTTCACGTTTAAGCAGCTGGACGGATTTTGATGAAATTCAGTATAATATAAATAGATATGGTGTAATACATCTATCCCATAGTGCCTAACAGTTCGAGCCGAGCCCGAACAAAGTAATTGTAATTAGTTAATTTTGATATAAACTTGATATCGAAGTTGCTACTAGAGTAATGACATGGTTAGCCATGTAAAGTACCATCGCACCACACTTACGACACAATGTGTTATTTTTTTGCAAAATATTAAATACAGTTGGATTGTATTTACCCACATCATGGGGTCATTTGTCCCTCGACGCTTGATAAATTGACAGCTTGATCGATACACCACATGCCTCCTAAGCCACGCCAGTTCCTCATGCTTTACAAAATAATTAATTCAACTAGACGGTCCCTAGGAAAATACACATGAATTGGATGGTTTGTGGATATGTACGAAGCAAATATTTATACTTACTAATATATAGAGTTAAAGTGTTTGTTTGTTTGAACGCGCTAATCTAGGAACTACCATACCGATTTAAATATTTTTTTCTTCTTACATGATTTGATTTTTTTCTCAAAAATTAAACATAGGTACTTACTTAAAATTTTAAAATTTAATTGCAACATCGTAAAGAAGTAATAAACACACTCACAAACTTTCTCATCCATTAAATGTTAAGTCATCTACTATACCTTCGTTTTGTATTAAGAAATCAGTGACTCAGCTTTGAAAGATCTTCAAGTCAAACTTTAGATTCATAGTACTAGGTAAAATATTGAGCATTCGTCATCAAGTTGTGTATTTAAATATTTGAAATATTTCCTTTTAATAAAAAATGTACTACCACTTTAAAATTACTTTAAATTAA